GAACGGAGTAATGATTAAGTATGCAATGATCATTAATAAGAGGAAACGACAATTGTACAAATAAATTGACATCTTCCTCAGTTGCCCTATTCTTACATATGGACATGTGTACGTGAAGATTTTGAGAGTAACATCTCAACCTGGGGCTGATGTTTGTGATATGTGATGAAGATGTATGGACTTGATGATCACCTATGTTTGCCTTGTGTTGGATATAAGGAATATTATAATAATTTATACGTAACTTTCTTGACAGATTTATGGACTTATGTGGTACTTCATTTCATGATGTTAATTTTGATGTGTGCTATTTATTTCTTTGTTTGCTATTACAAGGACAACTTACTTAAAATTTTATTTAATCCTTTGGGTTAGTTGGATCACCTTTTCTAATTTTTATAAAATTGGATCTAAACTATTAGACCTTTTTATTCCAATATTACTAAAAAGAATGAATAAGACAAAAATGTGACATATTTTAAATTTTTCCAAAAACGTGACTAAAAGTCATTTAATCCTATTATTTAATAATACATTTTTTATTTTAATAATATTCCTTTGCAGCCACCAGCACCGCTGACCCCGCCGACCCCGCCGCCGCCGACGCCGCTGCCACCGCCGACACCGCCGCCGCCACTGTTGATCCGGTCATAGTGACTCCGGTTACAATGATTCCAGTCACAGTGACTCCGGCCAAAATGACTCCGACGTCACAGTGACTGCCCCACGGACCAGTGTCTGTCCAACCAATCACAGTGACTACGCCCAAAGTGACTCCGACCGTTACAGTGACTCAGTCGGTCACAGTGATTCACAGTGATTGCCCGTCCACCGGCCAGTGACTGCTGTCGCACCCTCCGCCAATGAGGGCTGTCACGGCCCGCCCCACCCCGCCCCCGCTTGACTCCCCACCCCCAGTCACCTCCCCAGTCCCTAGCCCCCAGCCACCTCCCCAACCCCCTTCTGCCCCAAACACAACCACCCTTGTGCTACAACAGTCAGCCCAGACCCCACCAGTCCACCCAGCACCGCCCCATGCTTACCAGCCCTGCCCATTGCCCATCAGACCCACCCAGCCCTTGCCATGATGCACTAGACCTGCCCCATCTGCCTTCAGCAACCTCTCCCTTCGTGACTAGCCCTCAGCAACCTGCCACAGACCGTCTCAGACCGCCTCAAACCCCGTCGGAACCCACTGCACTGTCATTGTCGAAAGCCACCACCACTCCACCAGCCCAAACTTGACGGAAAACCCTTGCCCCACCCCTTAATCTCAGGCCCAGCTGTTGTAGCCATCGAAGTGGCCGCCCAGATCTGCTCAGCCGGCCCCTGATCTGATCCCTCGAACCACCAGAAACCTAGATCCATAACTACAAACGCAAATCGGAGTCGGACAGATGCAGAAACAATCGAAGGAGGCGGCGATTCAATGATAAACGAAGGCGGCAGCGATGCAGTGATTAAGGAAGGCGGCGCCGATGCAGTGATGAACGAAGGCGGCAATGATGCAAAGACCTCTGGCGAGATGGGGTGACATCTCGTAAGTGACGAAAGGCGGTGACTCGCAGGGGCACAATAACAAAGAAATGATATACTAATCTAGAAAAAATCATATGCATCACGAGTATAGCAATAAACAAAACTATAAAATTTAAATAAACCCACTGTTTTTGGAATGATCTGTTGCACCCATTAAAATCACTTTGTGGAAATTTAAAGTCACGCGGTTGGCAAGGACCTTTTCTCAAATAAGATCTCCTCAACTCATCTCTAATATTAACATCATAAGTCTCAATCGGCATAACTTTTCTGTCCAACACTTTTCTGTTCGAACGCCGTCCGAACACCGGCGTTTGGGGCGGTTCCCGGCGGAATATTTTGATGAAATTTTTTGAGCATGTTCCTCATCAAGTCTAGTTTATCCATACCAAACTTCATCAAAAAAATCCACCTGGAACCGCCCCAAACGGCGGTGTTCGGACGGCGTTCAGACCGGGAGGTGCTGGACCTGAGAATTTTCCAATATATATATATATATATATATAAATCACCGCAGGGGCACGGGCACCCCCTAGCCCTAGGCTGGGTCCGCCCCTGATGACGAGGCTTTGGGCGATGAAGATGATGACCTCTTGCAGATGGTTTGTCGCGTCTTCGATGCAGAGAAAGATGCGGCTCAGAGAGAAGCCAAAGAACCAACCGCAAATGTGAAGCGGAGGTCATATTTTTGGAATAATTTAAAAGAGTTATATTTTTGGAAATGGGAAGTTTGGCTGTATATGTGTGCCATTTTTTCTTTTAATTTTACTTCAAAATTTTCAAAAAATATATCAAAATTCATAGTTTTTTACAATCATTCAAATGACATCATATTACATATATAAAGTGTATTTAATTTGAAATTTTAACCGGTGTAGTTTCTTGATCCCAATAAAATATGAAACACAAGTTTTTAATCCATGGAACCTCAATAAATAACTAATATTACATGAAATCATTTTATTATTTACTAAAACTGAAATAGTAAAAAATAAAAGTAACAATTTTTTTAATGAAATATATGTTTTCTTACATTAAAATGTGTATTATTTATTTCATAATTATTTAGTGAAAAACTCAAACAGAAAACATTACTTATAATAATTCAATTAATGTTTTACTAAATTGACATGTAAAAAAATATGCCGAATGTATCTTAATGACGGTGTTGGGATGCAGGAAGGTAGGAGTTTAAACACTGTTTTCACATGAACGGAGTCCATATTTAACATTTTAGAATCTTGACCACTACAAATGGTTTAAATTTGATCGGTCAAAAACAGAATCACCAAACGGGATCACAGTCTACATACGTTGGAAAGTTTTAAATATATTTGGTTTTACTTTTAGATAAAAGTCAGAGCAGATTAGACTTAGAATAGATTCTTACCCAGTCTAATTAGACTAAATTAACGGGGAAAAGACATGAATAGGACTAATACATGAGCAAGGAACGTAAATAACAGTCGACACTTTTCTACTCCTAAATAAGACAATTTCATAGGCACGGACAAAAATAACCTTGCCCCTGAAGCATCTCTGCAGCCGTCCCCTTGTTGCAATCTGTAGCTTCCGTTATTTGCAGAGGGACAAACAAATGGATGTATCAACCGAAGTCCGAAGCCAAAGTAAGGAAAATTCATTCCCACTCACGCCCCTCGCCGTCTAGGAAAGAACTGCCGGCCACCATCTACGGCGACACCACCTCCGTTGTCGCCGCCTCGCGCTCTCCATCGACAATCCTAGAATTTAATGTTCTCACTAAAGCATTCCTCAACGCAGTCAACCGCCGCCGGGACGCTCGAATGTTGTGTGTCAAGCGCGAGTGAAGTATGTGTGTCAAGCTCGAATGTTGTGTTCTATTCTTCTTCTTTTCGTCTACGGAGTACTACTTTTCCTTCGAGTGAAGTTGGTAGATTCCTTTTTTTCTTTTTGATTTCTTCGTTTTCTCTCGACTTTCCCTTTTAATTGTTTTTTTACTTTCTTTTCTCTGAGCAACCGCATATTGGTAGCGCATATTGGTGGGCAGTGTTTGTTATTGAAGACCATGTTCAATTTGAAAATAGTTGGGAAAAAGACTCAAATAAAACTTGAACAAAGCATGAGAATCTAAACAATGACAAATGTACAAACAATGCCACATGTTATAAATTAAACAATGTCACAATGTTAAAATATCATACATGTTAAAAGTCAATGTAATCATATGATAATGTAATACTATGTCATTGTTTAAAAATCAATGTCATTGTATGGCAATGTAATATGATGTCATTGTTTACAAATTAATGTCATTATTGATAGATGTCAATGTTATTTTATTAAACTTTAACAAAATAAATAATCTCTCAATATCGCAAATATTGTCAAAATGTATGAAAATGTCACAATGTCAAAAAAATGTCACAATTTTGTATAGTGATGATGTCAATGTTATAAAAATGTCATTAAAATGACACAATGAAAATTATATTCTCATTACAATGTTAATGACATTGTCGTGACAATGTCAATGACATTGTCGTGACAATTTCAATGACATTGTTGTGACATTGTTAATGTAGCTTGGACATTATCAGTCCACTCGTTCATGCACTTTAAATAAGTTGTCAACGATTTTACTCAACTGAAAATGTAAAACAGGAAAAGTTTTTCACATAGACATTTCATCAAATAGTTTTGATGCAAAACAAAAACTCAGCGACGCATGCATTAAATGCAACAACTACCCTCTCCATTAGTCCAACACATAGAAGCTATTTGCCTATTTGTAATAACAACTACTCTCTACATTAAAAACTCACTAATTCATACATTAAAATGGGAACACCCATTTTAATGAAATGTGAGTAAATTAAGCATTATTGAGTGAAATAGAATGAAAAATCGAAATAGAAAAAAAGAGATGATGGAAGAAGTGGGGTAGAAATAAATCTGAAAAAAGAAATGAAAATTGAAAAATAAAATAAAATACAATTCATCATGTCTGCTTCTAGAAAAAATAGCCAATGTCTGCAGCAAACAAAAAAGCAGGGAGAAGAAGAAGAAATGTGTTTCCCCGGCGGCGCTCTGCACCTAGTCTTCGCCATCCTTCGTCATCGGCTCGTATCCCTGCTGCCTACAAAAAAATTCATCGCGACAGCCTTTCTCTCAAAGCGTCGACGCTTCCTCTGGTTCTCTGCCCAGTCCCTAATCTTCCATTGCAACGGCAACTTCGAAACATCTTTCTATTTCATAGATTTTGTAGCCATTGCATTGATGTTGAACAGTTCCCCCAAAATCGAGAAATTTTCCGTACGATGAATAGTCACTGGATCTGCCGGAGCAATCACGAGTCTTTTTCACCAATCGGATCCGATTCGCCACAGTGAAGCTCGTCGAGGAGCTCCATATACTAATCAACGAAGAGAAGTACACGCTGCCGCTGTGTGCGTTGTTCGACAAAGGTTTTGCTGAAGCATGTTGTATCTGGCTGAGTTTGTCACCAAGAGGGAGGATTAGAGAAAGGGACTGCTTGCCAGGGGATGAGATCTTAGGGTCAATTTTGGAAACATCTTAAAATTAGGTCTTATTTAGGAGTTAAAAATGTCAAAGGTCTTATTTAGGTATATACTGAAACTTAAGGTCCTATTTGTCACCATTTCTCCTAAATTAACCCAGATAAGAATAAGACAAAGAGGACCAAATTTCAGACCAATTAAATCCATAATCTACGCCCGGCAACCGTAAAGTAAACCCCATCCGGCCAACAGAACAAAACCTGTGGCTATTAGCTCCAGCGATAGCGAAGAAGGCAAACATTTGATCTTTTCTCAATACGGAGATTCAAAGGTAATGCAAGTTCTCTTCTCCCTCATACGAGCTTTCTTTCTTCTGTCTCTAATGAAAGCTCTTTTCTTCATTTTTCTATTCTACCAGCGCTAGACGTTTCCACTCTCTAGCTAAGCCAAGAGGTATACTAGTGGACCCGTAGTGTATTAGCCTCTGCACAATATAGCGTTTTTCAGCACCCGTAAGTCTTTAATTCATCTCAATTAAACCACATTCTTAATCTTTTTGAAGCATACTTAGTTTCTCTTCTTTTTTCAGTTAAGTGAGCTCTCTGTACCTTTTGTTTCACTACTTATTGTCTCGTACCAAATTTAGCATGGAGTAACATTTAAAAAGTTCTAAATGATTCTTAGGTTATGCTTATTTTATAGTGTGTCAATATGGTAGCAAGAGAGTGCTACAAGGGTTAGGTCCCGGGTTCGAATCCCATCAACTGCAATGAGGGTTACTATGCTAAAAATGCATAGAGCCTCTGCAAGTACCGGGGACAGAGTCCCACTCTCTACCTGTCAGATTGGGAATTTGGGATTATAGTCCAATTTACATCCTCCCAACGTAACGTCCGGTCGGGGTTGGGGGCCCTCAGGGATGGGGTGTCATCCTTTTTTATAGTGTGTCAATGTTTCAATGTCAGTGGGATAGAGGTAGTACTAAATATGTTTATTGTATAAGATTTCACATTTCTATGAAGTGGTGGTGCCAAACTCTTTATGCCAAATGTTTATTGTCCCAATTTCTTTGCTTTTTTGAAGGTTGAGTCTTTCTTCATATAAATTGAAGTGTTAGAGAAGATCTTGTTTGCTTTGTGATATCATGCTCTGTCTTCTGGCTAGTCTTGCTTAACCACCTTCACTGCTTTGTCTATTTGTCATTATCCCGTGTTCACATATCAGCTTGTTTCATTCCTTTTGATGGTTCGATTTCGAATTTTCGATTGATTCTGGTTGTTTATTTGAGAAATATTAAGTTATATTCATAATTTTTGTTTCATTTTTGCGACCTTCATCCTTATCCTTACTCTAAAGTAAGGTCATTTCCAATCAAATCCCTGGCAATGCTTAGTACTTTTATTCTATATCTGAAATTAATTGAGCATTGAAGGTTTGTTACTAATATTTTGCTCAATTTTCAAAATTTTCACTTCAAGACCTCAAGTTTGATGTTTTCTTCTCTGCTTTGGATTTTATTTAAAAAAGATTTATGGGTTGAACCAAACATGGATTTTTCTTAATCATTGAATATTTGGTCAAGATTCATTTTGTAACGAAATTCATTTCCTTTCTGTGTTTTTAAAAATCAATGGTTTTTTATAAATTGTTCTGTATATTTTTATGTTTTTACATTTATTTGTTTCTACCTTTTACATGTGTTGCCAAGTGGGTTGTAGATCTGCTAATCTGCATTAAATATTTAAGCTATTGTTTGGTTTCATGTGAGGTTTAGATCTGAGTTTAAGCTTCTCTAGCTTCTGCATGTTTATGAAATGGTGTACTGCTACCCAATCATTCATCCTCCTAAGTCTTAACCCACCACATTTCCTCCGGATCTAACCATGTTGTGACCAAAAAGTGTACAAAAGAAAGTGATGTTTTTCCCTGATTTATCCATGTGATTGTAGTGTTGGACCTGCTGAACAGCCACAATGAAAGCTTGAGTTCACCTACTTTATCTGCTTTAATGAGTAGTTTGGTATTGTGGCTTTCTTTATTCTTTAGTACTCTCTCCGTCTCTGAAAATACTTCCACCTTTCCATTTTCGTGCGTCCCAAAAAGAACTTCACTTTCCCTTTTTGTCAAAGAATTTGTGGTTAACAGCAATTCTTACACATTTCTCTCTCCTCTACACAACTCTCCACCACACAAAACTCACTTTCTTAATCCGTGTGCCATTTGTACTACGGAAGTAAATTCAAGAACGGAGGGAGTACTTATTTATTTTCGAAAATGTGCCTGAAACATCCCTGTACAGATTTCGTTCACATCTCCAATGAGTATTTTGATTTTTGACTATTTCTGTGTTACTGGGTACGAAGTATATTTTTTCAATATTATGACTTTTTTATACTCTCATTCCCATTTTTTTTCTCACTTTCCTTTTCCATATTTCCTATAACTTTCTTCCTGTCCCATTTATGTAATGCCTCTTTTTCTCATTTTTCTATATCAACTCCAATCATGTATTTTCATTTTATTATAAACGTGTCAATTCAAAGTGGGTAGAAAAAATCGAGGTGAGATGGAGGTAGTATATCTTTAATTTATTTATAAATTCCAAAATGACTTTTTCTCTCAAACAGATTTTCAGTGTTTTTTTAAATATGAGTATATATTGTTTTGTTAAAACGTACTCCATATTTATTTCAATTTTATATGGAGTATTATACTCCATATATAGTAAATAAATTTACAAATCTGTTTTTTTGTTAGATTTTGAAAATGAAAATTTATTGTTCACTTTATAGAATAAGTAGCAAGTACAATTTTCACACCTTTCTTTGTGTGGGGATAAATTTAGTGGTCAGCACAAAAGAGGGACAGTGAAAGTTTTGCAATTCTCTGGCCAGCTCCCACTTCCCACTGTAAACATAAAGCTTTAAAAAGCGTTAACAAACAACACTTTTAGTTTCACAACGAAATCAATCTTTTATTTCGTCTCACACACGGGTGTTTGTTGTTGCTGCTGTGCAGGGCATCCCTCATTTACCAACAGCAATGTCAGACCTTGAGGCTCCCCTTCGTCCCAAAAGAAAGAAGGGCTGGGTGGACTTCCTAGTGCAGTTCAGATGGATCATTGTACGGATTGTTTCCGGACACAGTCGTGGCATACGAGATCATTCTTGCAGAGGGAGAGGTAGTTCGGGCTACCAAAGACAATGAGTATTCGGACCTCTTCTATGGGATTCCTTGGTCTCAGGGTACTCTTGGACATCTTGTTTCGGCGGAGATTAAGCTAATACCGATTAAGGAATACATGAAAGTGACTTACACACCTGTGGTTGGTAATCTTAGAGAAATCGCACAGGCTTACATAGACTCATTTGCACCCAGAGATGGAGACCAAGACAACTCGGATAAGGTTCCTGACTTTGTGGAAACCATGGATCTATACTCCTACAGAAGCTGTTTGCATGACAGGTAGATATGCGTCTAAAGAAGAGGCGACTAAGATCAACGATGTCGGGCGGTGGTTCAAGACATGGTTTTATCAACACGCCCAAACGGCACTTAAGAAAGGAGAGTTTGTGGAGTACATACCGACGAGGGAATACTACCATAGGCACATAAGGTGCTTGTATTGGGAAGGCAAACTTATCCTCCCATTTGCTGACCAGTGGTGATTTAGGTTTCTGCTCGATCGGGTGGTTGATGCCGCCTAAAGTATCTCTACTTAAGGCTACTCAAGGTGAGGCCATTAGGAACTATTACCATGACAATCATGTCATTCAGGATCTGCTTGTTCCTCTCCACAAGGTTGGAGATGCTCTCGAGTGGGTTCACCGAGAGATGGAGGTACCTCTTTTTACTCATTCTTTCCTTAATTTATGAGAACAGTTTTAAAAATTGTGGGTGAAATGATTAAATGATTGGAATTATATTTAAGATATATGAAATACATTATACATATATTCAATCAATTAAAGAAAGCAACACCGAAAATGAGTGTATTTTTATGCCCTTCTTCTGTTTAAGACACGTTAGCCCCAAACTATGAATATACTGTTTTTCTTCAGTTGTCAGCCCACATGATTCAGTAAGTGAAATAATGTCAAATGTGTGATTAAAATAAAAGAGCAATGGATGAAAGTGTTATTTTTAATAGGTGCAACTGATGTTTGCAGAGTAGTTACCAAGGTAGTATTTTTGCTACAAACTATGCATCTTACTTTTTGCCCATAAATTTCTATTTTCGGTAAAAAAAAAATTATCAATAAGTATGCGTTTTCTTTAAATCCGGCTGATAAGATGGAAAATTCTTCTACCAAACTGACAGGCTCCCGTTGAAAACCATGATATATCATCATTTCATTGTATGACTCTCTAATTATAAACAGGTGTACCCCATCTGGCTTTGCCCACACAGACCTTACAGGCTCCCGTTGAAAACCATGATATATCGGGAACCGGGATTTGAGCTGCACAAAAGGCAGGGCGACACGAGCTATGCCCAAATGTACACTGATATTGGAGTGTACTACACACCTGGCCCTGTCCTTAGGGGTGATGACGTGAAGTCTTTGATGGTTCATTGGCAGTGCAGCGCTTGGAGAATTGGTTGATTGAAAACCACGGGTTCCAACCACAATATGCAGTGTCTGAGTTGTCGGAGAAGAGCTTCTGGAGGATGTTTGATGCTGGGCTCTATGAGCACTGCAGGCGCAAGTACAAAGCCATAGGCACCTTCATGAGTGTGTACTACAAGTCAAAGAAGGGAAGAAAGACAGAGAAGGAAGTGCAAGAGGCTGAACAGGAGAAAAGTGGAGACCCCTGATGTTAATTGATTAATTAGCCATAGATTATTGGAGTTTGGTGTTGGTTCTTGGCACCTTCATGAGTGTGTACTACAAGTCAAAGGAGGGGAGAAAGACAGAGAAGGAAGGCAAGAGGCTTAACAGGAGAAACCCCAAGTTTGGTGTTGGTTCTTTGATTTATGCCCATTTGTCGTTTCTGGAGTTTCTATATGTTTGGCATTGGTAGTTGGTACTCTTAATTTTTTACTTGTGTATGTGTCTGAGTGAGTTGGGTGGCTTTTCAATTTCCATTAGAGGCCAGAATGCCAGATTTGACTAATTTAGAGTACATTTTTTAAAAGTTTTCTTCATAAGTTCATTTTATTTCATTTACATAGTAAATAAATGGATCCTGGTTTGAACTGGTTGGTCAAGAGTAACTCCAGAAGTCATGACATCCAAGTATGGCCTAAGTCCCTAAAAATGTCAAAATCAAATGAGATATATATTATGGACAATTATTCATTGTGGATGTTAGGGTTTAAAATGAAACTGCTGCGTCCCGGCAGTGGAAGTGTGGAACTAATGGACCGGTACAGAAGATGTTGGCGACGGGAGCTTGCCGGAGCCGGTAAAGACGGAGCATCTGCAGATAGGGCAAGTAGAGTTGGAACTGAGCCAATGGGATATACAATGAGAGTGAAATATGTGTTTGCAGGGTGGGAGCTGCTGCAATTCATCCTCCATCTCGTACTCTCCCAAACAAATGCAACAGCACCTGCAATCCCATTAGATCATCAAAAATTGGTACACTAAAATTATAAAATAATGACAAATACGGAGTATATGATTGATCTAAACATAGTGGATGAAAACAAAACAAAATATTTCTGTCTATTTATTTAAGTTTAATCTCTTCAATTTAAATTTTGTTTAGTTTGATGTGATTTGATACCGAAAAAATTAGAGTAAAATGGAATATTTGGGTTAATATATCGTTTAAGGGGGTGTTTGGTTTGCTTGTGCTTTTCAAAAGTGATTTTTAAAAGTATTTTGTAGTAAAAGTTGGTAGTATTTGAAAATTCAAAATTGATTGTAATTAAAATGTAAAAGTTGAAGTGTTTGGTAAAAAAGTTATACTCCGTATCACTGTATGTGCTATAATATATTGTTAAAATATAAAATATCCCCAAATTAAATAGTGAATCCAAACACGAAAATGAGTAGGAAAATTACATATATAAGCTATGCATTTAAAAATGAAATATATCGAAGCTAGTAACTTACGTAGTACGCACTACGCAGTACTAACTTTCATTCTCTTATATTTGTAGGCTATAGCTATCGAGAATAAAATGACAATTTCCAAAAAACTATGGAGGATATAAAAAGAATTAAAAATATTTTAAAATTCAAAAGTGATTTTTTGTAATCATTTTGTCATGCAACGTTATTTGCAATGGAGCCAAAAATTCATTACTTTTTGGCCTGAGAATATGATGGAATAAAGCAAAATGGTTGAAAAAACTGTGTGCGCTTCTTTGTCATGATGATGATGATTTTTTCATGCAAGAGTTACCTAATTAGCACCAATTGATCAACATCTACTTACTGTGATTCTTCCATTGTGGAATCTTCACCAAATGCTATTATAGGGAGTTTGAAACTTTGGACTATCCCATCAAAGCCTCCTTCATTCTACAGTCAAGACAAGGGGAGTTTTTCTTATATAAATTGAATTTTGAATATATCCAGTTAAGAAATAAAGGGGAGAAGATGAGTGAATTACCATGGGAGTCTGATTAGCAAAAGTTGTGGGAAGTGTTGAGGCAATGGAAATCCTCCTCTTAAGGTAGAACAAGTAAAGCAAAAGGAACACTATGATAGAGAAGAGAATTGGGATTGAGAATATGAAAGCCTGATAGAGTTTTATGAGCTGAATTGTCTGAGGATAGAGGTGTGGTGGGCTTGCAGTTGCTTCAGGCAACCCCATGAATCAAATCCTTGATGAGTTGAAGAAGAAGAAGATACTGCTGGGCCTGCGCATAGGCATGCTTATAAGATCAGCCAAAGTGATCATTCCTTTCATAGCTTCCCACTACCTCTAACTCCCCACTCCTCAATTTGTGATCCATCATCATATGTACAAAGTATAAAATACTTCCACCCTTCTTTTATAGTTGCAAAATTCTCATTTCCATGTTTGCTAACGCACAACTTTGATCGTCATTATATTTATTTTTACATTAGTAAAAAAAATTAAAACCCAGATGATGAAAATTTGTAATGAGACAAATTGAACAATATTTTTCAAATAAAAATATTACATACATTAATAAATAAAATGTAGTCAAAGTAGTGTATGTAAATAGTGTAAAATTTTCAATGTTGCAACTAAAAAGAGACGAGGATAGTATTAATAAGTTAATATAATTGGGACTACATACACCTTCAATCAAGTTAATTTGGACTAAGGAGCTGCTTGATATATTTGTATTCACATGCAAAACATGAATTATTATAAACTTTTCTTTCTTTAACTTCACGAAATGTTCTTTTATAGTTTTACTGATGGTAAATATGATTATAGAGTACACTTTGTTAACACTTTTTGACACTATGCTTATTATTGTCTCCGACTCATTAGACTTTGTTAACTTTAATTTTGTTTGTCTAAAAAATTTTGTCACATTCTCGTTAAAAGAAATAATTTGTGATTTTACCTTTTCTCTCTTGTACACAATTGTCAATCACATAATTTTTAGGTAAAAGTACGAAAATGTACGTGTGGTTGGGCCCGTTTTCAGATAGGGTCATGCGTTTCATTTTTTATAAAAGTGGTTCATGTGTTTGAATTTCGTTATCACAAAAGAGGGTCACGCCGTTAAAAACGTCTGAGAAAGACGGTTAATAGTAACTCCGTTTCAAAAGTGTTCGAAAAATTAAAAGAAAAAATATCGGAAGGTGCGTCTCAACAAGACGACCGCAAGGACATCTTTCTTTTTTGTTTCCAGCCACCCTTGTCACCGGAAAGTCCACCGAAAAAATGATATTAGTGAAATCATTTTTAAAATAATTCAAACAGATCCGAAAAATCTAAAGGCGGATGTGATTTGGAGGTTATCTTGACAAGGCGCACCTTCCGGTATTTTTCTTTTAATTTTTCGGGCACTTTTGAAAATCAGAGTTACTATTAACCGCGTTTTAACGGCGTGACCCTCTTGTGATAACGGAATTCAAACACATGAACCTTTTTTATAAAAAATGAAACACATGACTCAATCTAAAAACGGTCCAACCACAAGTATCTTTTCCGTATTTTCCCCTAATTTTTACTCCCTCCGGTCCCTATTAAAGTTCTCACTTTCCTTTTGGGGATATCCCTTATTTAAGTTCACACTTCCATTGTAGGAAACAAAACTGTGCAAAACAGTGTCAAACAATGTCCAAACAGTGACAAACAGTGCACTCCACAGTAAAGTCAAATTTATTTTCTTAATCTGTGTGAAGTCAAACTGGGAACTTTAATAGAGACCGGAGGGAGTACTTTTCTTATTTCTATCAAACACATACGGAGTATTTGGCAATGTCCAATGTGATGAGGTAATATTACTAAGAGTAGTAGAGTAAACTGATGAGAATGGTTCATCAAATAAGAAAAGACAACTTTAGATAAGGACATTTTAACAAGGATAGTGGAAAGTTTTTAAGGGCAAAAGGATCTCTCTTCCTATTTGAATATACAGTCACTTTTAAAGTGTTTCGTATAGGACAACTTTTAAGGATAACTTTTTATGATTTCAGGACTTTTATAAGGGAATTTCTCAAAATAGGAGTAAATGGAGTTTGAAATTCTAAAATAGGACTACTATGTTTTTATTTCTGAAATGGGACTAACATGACAATATTTACTGTCAACATCTTGTAGGCGTGATTGTCAAATAGTTGCAGTACAGTGCATTTAACATGACAGTATTTATTATAATTAATGATAGTATTTTTCAATCATAACAATATTTTTCATATATGACAGTAACAACTCCTATTTCGAAAAAAAAACATACTAGTCCTATTTTGGAATTCTAAATCTCATTTGCTCCTGTTTTGGGCAATTTCCCTTTTATAAAATGAGGTTTTTATTAGAATATTACTAATAAAAAAGTCATGAACAAAAATGTGAGTTGATAACTTTTAGTGACTATTATTATGTTCAATGTTTATATCATAGTAACTTTGAACATATTTATAATCACTAAAAGCTACCAACTCACATTTTTGTCCATCACCCAAGCAGGGCCGAACCTCTACATGAGGCAAAGAGGCACTTGCCTCAGCCCCACAAATTTGGGAAAAAATTAGGACCCCAAAATATTATTAGTTACCTTTATATAGAGGAAAGTTCATGTCCGGAATTCCGGACAGGAAATACTGCCTTTGGTCGTCTTTTCTGTGAATTTTTTTGATGAAATGTTTATAGCATGTTCCTTATCAAGTCTAGTTTATCCACAAACAAATTGAGCTTAAAATTCAACAGGGAAGACCATCAAATAATTTTTGGAATTTAGCTGTGTTTTATGTGTATATTTTGGCCCAGTTATCATTTGACGGCTTTCCCGATCGAATTTTTAGCTGACATTTTTTGGGGATAAACTAGACTTGATGAAAAAAATGAAATAAAAATTTCATCAAAAAATTCCACCGGGAAGGCGCCCAAAAATTAGACTTGATGAAGGACATGAACTTTCCTCCCCAAAAATTCTTGAAGGCTTTTTTTAGAGCTAGACCAAAAAACTCTTAGGATCTGCCTACACCCAAGAATGCCAAGATGCCTTCCACTTCGTTTCTTTTCTTATTTAAAGCATACATACTTGCTATATAAGTGGCATTCAATCACGAAGCCTAACTTACTCTAAATATTTTGGGTGCCATATGTTAGTGTTGTAACATCATGTTCGCCTTTTTTAGCAAAGAAATGCACGAGACAACTCATATTTGTAGGATGCAATTTTATAAGGCGTTATACTACAAAAGAGTTGAAAGGGAGCCAGAAACAGGGAAAAAAAATACGATGCTCTAAAAGCTTTGCATTTTTATGATGCCTATTTCAGGATTTTCAGGTGTTAAGACAAGACATATACTCCTATAGCAACTAAGCTGTTTGAAGAAGGGGGTTGTAAAATTTTATGTACTATTGGTCTTTGAAAAGCCTTTCACCTCGAATCTTATATACTACATTTAGGGTATGCTTGACACAATTAGCTGAAAACATACTTTTGTGAGCTTTTTAATAACTGTTAGCTTTTCGTGACTGAAAATATCTTAAACAGAAAAGGCGGTAGCTGTTTGGTAAAAAGCTGAATGTTTGATTTAGTTCGGTTTGGTATACAAGCTGTTAGGACTAATTAATACTAAAAGTCACGGGTTTTTTTCGGATGCTACTCCATGTAGCATCTCATAAAGGATCTTTTAATTTTTGAAAAGCTCTTAAAAATTGTCATGTCAAACATATAACTAGAAGCTTTTAGAAACTTTTTGAACAGTACAAAAGTTAGAAGGTAGAGACTTATACCTGCCAAACATAACCTTAAACTCATTACTATAGATTAAATTTATAAAAAAAAAACAATTAATTCCATTTCTAAAGATATTACAAAGTGTGGAATATTTGGCATAATATGTAAGAATTTGGCATGACATTGAAGATGAAAGAATCACATGAACAAAGATCAACGGTTATTAAGAGAAGAGAAGAGTCATCCATAACCACATCAAAGTGATGTGGATGCTATTCCTCTTGTCACCCACAAATTAAAAGCGGATCAATATCAAGATATCACACTCAAGTAGTTTAGTGATACTTCATAAATTAAAGATAAAAAATCACATTTGTAAAGCAATGGCAATCTTGCACTTATAATGACTCTAATTTTTTCAATGACTTTTTGACATTTGATAATGGGAAGCAAGTTGGATATGGATTAGGAGGATAGAGGGGTGTTTGGATTTGATTCTGCTTCTGCTTCTTTTTTAAAGCAGAAGCAGAAGAAGAATCAGAATCAGTTTTCAGAAGCTGGTCACCCCCAACTTCTAAAAAACCGATTCTAGGAGTATATTAGAGCATTTCTGCACTTTCACCCAAACACTCCAACTTCTGTTTTTGCTCCCTGAATGAGCAGAAGCAGTTTTAAGAATCAAATCCAAACACCCCCAGAAATTATAAATTAATTAGACAAAGACTGATCACATTTTTTAGGTAAAAATTAATCATATTTTTTTCTTTCAAAAAGGTCGAGGAAATATTTATACTGCTATTTCGAAATGTTTTACAACAAACTTTATGTGAATTCTATTGTTCCAATTTTAACTTTTTTAGATCGAGGAAATATTTATACTGCTATTTCGAAATGTTTTACAACAAACTTGAATTCTATTATTCCAATTTTAACTTTTTTAGATCGAGTTGTGCGTTTTTTGAAAATTATCATTATTCATAAAAAGTTCGGAAAAGGAAAAAAAACTGTGTATCTATATATTCATATGAAAAATTGACTTTATATAATAATGATAATTAATCTTAGGGAAAATCGCACTTTTAGTTCTTGAAATAGTCACTATATTGAAATGTCAGACCTATGTTCCTCAGTTTGTAAATGTCACCCCTCAATTATCCAAATTGATGTAAATGTGATCCTTAGAGGTGTGAAATGTACAATGTGGGCGAGGAGTACATTTCACCCCTCAAAGGACCACATTTACAACAATTTGAAAAATTGAGGGACATTTACAATCTCAAAAATGCGGATCTGACATTTCAATATGGTAACTATTTCAGAGACTAAAAGTGCGATTTTCCCTTAATCTTATCAAAGTTGGGGATTTTGGTAACTATGTCTAAAGAAAGGCCAAAGACAATAACTTAATTACTTTTCCAATTAAATACTACGTATGTCACAAGTAAAACTGCGATTATACCTGTAATGAAAGTTCCGATGACTTTTTTGACCATTATTTAGAAAACGTTATGAAGGTGTTTGATGGCTAGCCAGTTGCCCAGTTGATGATGTAGAGAGAAGTGATTGAAGTAGATTTATGATGTGTTTGTTTTGGGATTGGCTTAACTTATTGCAGTTTCAATTTTTAATTAATTTTGTTTGTTTGTATTTTTACAACAATAATCTAGGTTATTAATAAATTTGGAT